ATAATTATGAAATAATAGATTAAGTAAGATGTTTTTCCCCCCAAATTTTAAAACCTGGGCAACCACATCTATCTCAGGATCTTCATCTATCAAATGCCCTTTTACATCTCATCCAGCCTACAAACTGACATAAAATTGTTAAATCTTAGATAATCCTTTAGACCAGAAACTATGGTCCATGAATCAAATCTGACCCACCACGTGTTTTAGTGTGTAAAGTTTTACAGAAACACAGATACCTTCATTTGCATTTAACTCATATTGCCTATGGCTGCTTTGATAACAGAAGAGTAATTTAATGGAGATCATATAGCACACAAATCCTGCCTGGCCCTCTAAAGAAAAAATTTGCAGATCCTGCTTTAGAAAAATGAGGTAATATTTCACCTCAATGTATTTTCCAGATATATAAAGCTCCCCTTTCAGGTAGATAAAGTTTACTTTAAATACAAAGTGAATGCATTCTATATTTTCCAAATAACCAACAATATAGTCTCCTAACTTCATAGTTCTGCCTCTCAGATTTGACAACTGATGGAGTGAATTGGCAGATATGAGTTTGATCCTTGCCTCTAATTCTTTGCAATCTTAAGCCAAACTCTAAATGAGGATTATACCACCTGCCCTGCCAATCACTAACAAGTTTGAAGACTAAGAGAAATATAATATATTAAAGTATTTGAAAATTACATATGTACCCATTTTTTAAAAGATCACTGCTTTAATAATTTAAATATTCAAATAACGTATTATATTCTATATAAGACATAATGAAAGTCTTAAAACTACTTAATCTAGGCTAGATACCATGGACTTCATATAAACAAAAACCAAGTTAGTATCTATACATCATATTATACATTGATTCAAATGTATCTTGTCTTGTTAAGTCAAGGGGCTTATTTTTCCTACTATTTTGCTTGCCTTTAGTCAAATGGAAATCTGTAAAAAGGGATTTCTGAAAGATTTAAAGAATAAGGCTGGATGAAAGATGTATATCTAAGGATAGTAAATGTATAAGAATAAGTGTGCATGGGACAAAGGAATAGAGGGAATATACCAGAAAAGTATAGGAGAAGCTCTTTTTTAAAAAGACAAAATCTCAGTGAGCATTTAGCTTATGTCTAAAGACCAGAAGTCATTCAGATCAAAATAACATCTCAGAGCATAAGAATATTCCATCAGAGGACGCCTTCTCTTATGGCTTTACATTAATATCTAACTACTCTGTTGATACAAAATTAGATCCACATTTACAAAAACTTACCAAAAGAGACATTGAATCGCTTTAGTTCACAGAAAGTAACAAAAAAGCCATCTACTCCAAAGAAGATTTCTGCTTTATCTTCAAGACACTGAAATATCCTAATGCAAAAGACAGAAGCAAAATAACATATTTACATAAAAATTCCTTAAAGATATAGTTGCCAAAACCCACCACTATTTGGGCAACTGTTCTCTGACACAAGGACTACCAACACTTCTGAAAGGCGTTCTTAAAGAGCACTTCTGTTTACTGAACACCATTTCAGATCTGATATCACAGGGTATCAGATATTACCCACTCCAGTATTCTTGGGCATCTTTGGTGGCCCAGCTGGTAAAGAATCCACCGGCAATGCGGGAGACCTGGGTTCGATTCCTGGGTTGGGAAGATCCCCTGGAGAAGGGAAAGGCTACCCACTCCAGTACTCTGGCCTAAAGAATTCCATGGACTGTATAGTCCATGGGGTCGCAAACAGCCGGACATGACTGAGCGACTTTCACAGATTTCTATCACAAAGGCAAAGTGCAGTTGAAAGGAGGTTCTGAATTTCCAAAGCCTTGATTACCTGCATCTGTTCTTCCTTATCTGTACTACTTTTTTCAAAGAACCCTAAGCAAAATGTAAAAACAATACAAAAAGGCAATTTTGGACCCACTTTTACTACAAATGATGCCCAAGAATTTCCAATGGTTCTACTTAAAAGTAAACTTTGAATCTTCCAAAGCTTCCTTATCAATTCATTACCCATTAAGTCATTTAGGGTCACTGACCAGCAAATTGGGAAAGAATCAGGATTAGTAACAGACTAGGAATTAATAATATTTTCTTCTTGCCATATGTTTACAAAAAATTTTTTTTTCAGTTTTCATATGAAAATATTTTCTGTAGGTTGAATTTTTTTACCTTATGATTCTTAGTTCTCATTTCCATTCTTCTTGGAATTTATTGACAGATATGAAAAATATGCTGATTATTACACAAATAATTCCTGTCCACTCTCACTGATGGCCTATTAATCTCAATCGTTTATGAAGACTCCAACAGATGCAGAGGTTTAAAATAGTAACTTACTAAATTTACATTCAAGAAGCTACAAAAGCACCACCAAAATTTCCCAGATCTTTCTGCATAGAAAGGGTGGCAGTGTTCTAAATTACCTAGTGCGAGGTGCTCCCTTACACCTACCCAATTTCTCTTTCACCTAAATTGTGATTATTTCATTTTAATGAAATTCCCAAGTTTGATCAAGGCACCTGCAAACATCTGAACAAATGGCAAAGAAAAGGATTTTGTAAACCACAGAAATTATAGACCAGCATCTAATCTTATTGTTAAGGAAAGAAGTCAATTTGTTCATGATATTCACTACAGACCAAAGGTAAAGAATTAGGTGTGTGTGTTGGGGGCGCGGGGACCTGACAGGGTTTGATTATTTTTGTCTCCTGCCATTCATTATCATCAATATAAGGCACTGATGTTTGCTGTGTTACAAAAGGGATAATGCAATACCTGCCCTGCCCACTTTCCAGGTGGTTCAGATCAAATGAAATGCTTCATCTGAAAGTGCTTAGAATTACCATATACTGTATCCATATAAGATTAGCTTAAGGAGATGCTCTGAAAGGTACACTCAGTTATTACTGGTGTCAGTACCAAATGGTAGGACTCATCTGGAAAGCATGTTGGCGATGTTTTGATAACCATAAACACATTCATACCTTTTGATCTTATAAAATTCTCACTTCTAGTAATCTAAAAAAATATCCAAGTAAATGAAGAAACCATTCACATGCAGAAAGTAATTACACTACTATCTGAAACAGTCAAATATTCTCACCACAGTGTTTAAAGAATGGCTGTCATGGGTCAGGTGCTGTGCTGGGCACTGGGGACACTCACTAATGACCCAGGCAAACAAGGTCCAGACCACTTGCAGCATACATTCCCACAAGCCAAGATTAGAGATGTGGTGATCAACTGCATTTCTAGTTCTCATGATTGTTTTCTGCTTTTTCCACATAATAGCAGTAAGTTCTTTCTTAAACAACAACAAAAAATTTTAACTAGAGTATCCATTGTTCAGGAAAACTCACAAGAAACTGACACAATCTGAGAACTCAGTACTAAAGGGGTTGCCCCTGTGCGGGGCTTAATCCCAGAGGATTTTGCTTTAGATGTGACAGACTACTGAGAGAGAATTTTATAAGACATTTTGAGGTCAAGGCAGCAGTTGCCCCCGGTAAGGGGCGGGGGGAGGGGGGAAATTTGCTGTTATAATTTTCCCCTGCATGCTTTCACTAGGTATGAATATCTTTTTGAAAAAATTCATAGTTGAGACTTATATTTCTGAATGTACACGTACATCACTGGTGTGATCTCTCATACTTGTATCTAAAAAGCTAATCAAAAAAAGCTTTGTAAATAAGTTTATTCTAAGTGATTCAGATCAAATGAATTACTTTATCTGAATGAAGAATGGTTCCTCTGAAAACTTTAATCTGAAAGGTTAACACTTTCTGGAACAATCAGAATGCGCAAATTACAGAACTCAGGTTTTGAGTTAATTTAAGCATCCAACAGAGGCCCTTGTTACAGGGAATGTTAAAACGCCCTATTTAACTCTTTGTGGAGCCTTAAAATTACTGTACTTTCCAAAGCGATGTTGGGAACCCATAAAATCTTAACTATAGCGTCGCACAACTCGGTAGAATTTTCCAAACTTAGCATCGTGACTCAAGCTTTCAAAAAATATTTACTAAGCGCCTACTGTGGGCCGGGCTCTTTGCTAGGTACGCGCTGTCACAAATTCCAATTGCGTTTTGAGGAAAAGGTGCTTGACACAACAAATCCATGAGGGAAAAACACAACCCTGAACTTCACTACCGAGAAGAAAACACAGCTTGCGTTCAATTCTATAAAAGCTTCCTTCCGAGACCTGCTTTGGGGGACTCTGTAGCGAACTCGCAGAAGGTGGCACACGGAGCCGAGCCGGAGGGCGTCTCGGGTTTGGAAACGCCACGCGTGGGTGAGTGCAGCCAAAGGTGAGAGCGGGGGTGGGGGTGGCGGGGCCGGAACCGCGCACCTGGTGCCGCCGAGCCCAGCAGGCGCAGCCTACCCACACGCAGGTGCTCTCCGCCGCGCGGCCCAGGACGCCGGGCAGAACCGGAGCTGCGCGGAGCGCAGGGGCCGCTCTTCATGCCGAGCCGCACCCCCGCCACGGCTCCGCCGGCCGCCCGGGCTCCGGCTGGATGTAGGACGGCGAGTTCTAGCCTCGAGCTTCTCGAGGCGCGCGCGGACTAAGCCGCGCTCCCTCACTTCGCGACCGGCCCCTGACCCTTCCCCTCCCTGCCCGGCCTCCTCTCATTACCCTGGCTGCGACCACGGCCAGCAGTTCTCCTCGGGCGGCCAGCTGTGCGGGGCCTGGGCGCCCGGCCCGCCCAGGGGCAAAGCGAGAGCGCAAGGCCCGCTCCCAGCGCGGGCCGCGGAGCCAAGGGGGCGGCGCGACCCGGACTGGGGCTGTGGGCCTGGAACTCAGCCCCAAAGCCCCGCAGCCCGCCGGGACTGGACTCGCCCCACCCCGGCCCCTAGGGTCGCTGCCCCGCCTCCCGCCTCCCGCCTCCCGCTTCGGGGCTAGCAGGGAGAGGCGTGGCCTTCGAGTTAAGGGGCGTGGCCGAGAGGAAACTGCAATTCCCAGCAGGTCGTGCGCTGGCGCCGTGCAGGCTGCTGGGAGAATGGGTCTCCTCCTCTCTTCCCCGATTGTGTGGGGGCTGTCATTGACCTGGCGTCGCTGCAAAACCGAAGTCGCTGAATGATGATGTTGTAAAGTTGCCCGCCCGTCCCTGCCACGCCCAGGTAGTTTTTGGCAGCGGCGGCCGCTCCGGCTGCTGCTCTCCAGCTACCGCTTCATTGGAGAGTTTTCCCTGAGGGAGCTTGGGCGTTGGACGGAGGACGCCGGGTCATTCCTGTGAGTAACCTTTCCGTTTACGACCCGAACTTGCCCTTGCCATCTTCCCTTGAAGGCGGAGGAGCTTCCCCGCCCCGCGCTCCTCCGGGTCCTCGGAGGTCACGCGCGGACCCCGGAGTTGGGGTACCGGAGGACTGGGTCCTCCCCCTGTCTTAGCCCCGCGATGGGAATCGGGTGGTTTCCCAAGTGTAAGTGCTAAGTGATGGGCATTAGGCTCTGGCCTCGGGGTTCACACCAGCTGCAACTCTCAGGATTGGCAGCATCCCATCCTGTGCCGGACAGCACCCACCTGGTGCCCCACTAAAGCGATGAGCCGCTTTAGTGTCTGGATGTTAAACCTCAACCCTTGGTTGACATCTGTGATGTGAGCGAGACGAGAGGGTGTGGAAAAGAGCCCTTTATGTGTTGAGTTGGGCTTTTCTTGCGATTGATTTTGAGCCAGACACCGCACGTCTTTTAAAAGAAAGACGCTTGCCTTCAGTTTGAAGCGTAAGTAAGTAATGGATATTAGCAGACGTCCTTAAAAGGACAATTATAATGACCTAGAAATCTTTTAAGTGTTTAGGAGACTACCTTTACCAGAGTAAAGGTCATTATAATTGTCGTGAACTCAGTTACTTGCCCAAGGACCTTTTATTTAAGCCTGCAGTTTCTGCGTAGAAAACTTAACTTTTCACTGGAAATTCATCAAGCTATCATGGACTATAGGGTAAAAAAAGAAAATGAATTCTTCCAGTTTTGTTTTATCTATTTCAGTGATTTTTTTTCCTGGCCTTCTAATCTTTGCTGTAGAATTGGAGGTCTGAGCTACAGTGATCTCCAAATAGCATGTTACTGCTGGTGTGGTGATACTTGGAAAGAAATTGTGAAGGATACTGGTGAGGAGAAAGGGCAAGGATGAAGACACTTGTTTATCTCGGCAGTTATCCCAGCTTTCTGTTGTTTTATCTTTTAATTATGCAGACTTCTTTTTTTGTTAACTTCTGTCTGTGTGACGGAGAAGGCAATAGCACCCCACCCCAGTACTCTTGCCTGGAAAATCCCATGGATGGAGGAGCCTGGTAAGCTGCAGTCCATGGGGTCGCCAAAGAGTAGGACACGACTGAGTGACTTCACTTTCACTTTTCACTTTCATCCATTGGAGAAGGAAATAGCAACCCACTCCAGTGTTCTTGCCTGGAGAATCCCAGGGATTGGGGAGCCTGGTGAGTTACCATCTATGGGATCGCACAGAGTCGGGCATGACTGAAGTGACTTAGCAGCAGCAGCAGCAGCAGTCTATGTGAAGGGGAGACCCATTGACAGCTACTTGGGGAAGATTCCAAGGTGCTTCCAGAACTTGGAAGTTCCACCTAACTTCTTCACCTCACCCAACTGACCAGAGGAGCCTCTTCCATCCCACACCCACTACCCCCTGACCTGAGGCTCTGCAGTTTCGGGAGAGTTTTTCCTGATGAGAATATGTCCTTACCTGGAGAGTTCCATAAACAGAGGAGCCTGGCAGGTTACTGTCCACACAGGTTGCTGTGTGGCTAGGTACCTCCCAGTTAGCCAGGCATCTCAGTTATGAGCTCTATGTGCATTTGATCAGTTAATCACTATAATAACCCCATTGCATAATCTAAGGCTTTAAAACTGTGTTTATGTAACAAGTGGAGATTCATACCTAGATCTGCCTTACTTCAAAGTTATAGGTCAGATAACTTTTACCTACTTCAGAAATTGCTGACCTTAAAGGTTGGATGATTAAAAACCTTTTTCCAGCATTATTTTCTAATACTAATTCCTACTACATACCTTGAATATCTAGAATAAGTCATGAACCCTGCTTTAGTACTTTTGAACCAGGTGTTTTCTCTGCTTGCAATGCCCGTCCTTCACAGAGCTTTTCATTAAGACCCTAAGAGCCCATTACAAATCCACCTGTTTACTTAGGTAAGCCATGATAGGATTGGCCTTTCTAGTTCAAAGGTTTAGTGGTTCTGAAGTTGAAAATTTGAGCCAAGGAATAGTGTTCTCTACTACAAATGATTAACATCCGTAGTCACAGAGAGTAGAAAAACTTGTTTAAGATTTTTACTTCAATACCCAAGATGTTTAAACACCAAAATAAGGAATGAGGCACATGAAAATTGATTATTTCATGTTTATTTTTATCTTTAGTTATATCATCCATACCAGTTTTTGAACCTCTTTAGTTACTATCCTATGTGGTTGGTAAGAAATCTGAGGCATTTAAGTAATATTCACATTTAAAATAACTTTATAATTGAAGGAACTAAATTACTAATGATATCCAGCCATATTTGTTCAGATCTTAAGTGATCGTATAATAGTAAACATCCCCACATTAGCAGTGAGAGATGTTTATTTAGATAAGCAACTGAAGCAGAGGGGAAGTTAACATACCTGAGGTCATTCAGCTACTAAGTGGGGAAATTGGGTCTCAAGCCCAGGCAATCCCAGAATCTATACTCTGATGTTTAGCGAGAACCTGCTATGTACCACCAGCTTCCCTGGGGGCTCAGATGGTAAAGCGCCTGCCTACAATGCGGGAGACCCAGGTTCAATCCCTGGGTCTGGAAGATCTCCTGGAGAAGGAAATGGCAACCCACTCCAGTATTCTTGTCTGGAAAATCCCATGGATAGAAGAGTCTGGTAGGCTACAGTCCATGGGGTCACGAAGAGTTAGTCACTACTGAGCAACTTCACTCACTCACTATGTACCAACCCTAAAAATGGATGCTTTTATTATAATTAAGTCATTATTCTTTATAACTACCTTATGTAGAATGGAAGATCAACATCTATTGACTTGTTTAAAATCATAAGTGCATATTAGAACCAGGATTTGAACTCATGCTTGCCTTTATTTAAAGTTCATATTCTTTCTTCTGTGTTCCCTAAATAATCAAATCTTTAGTAAATCTCTTCAATGGAACAGACACTGTGCTAAGTGCTAGAGATTTAGTCTCTGCTCTTAAGGAATACAGTCTGAAGAAGGAAAGAGACAATTGCAATTGTGTGTTTATGAGTGAGAAGCACACAGAAGTACTGTGGGAACACAGAGACAGGACAATGAAATCTGCCTGGATAGGAAGACTTGGGCCAATCTTGGAAAAACAAATAGGAATTAGCCTCACCAAAGAAAAGGAGAAGGCCTTATTGTGGGCTCAGTTGTGTTTCTCCAAAATTTGTAAATTGAAGCCCTAAGCCCCATAACCTCAGAATATGACTATATTTGGAGATAGGGCCTTTGAAGAGGTAACTAAGTTAAAATGAGACCTTTAGGGTATAATTCATTCTGACTGGTATCTTTATAAGAAGAGGAAATTTGGACACAAAAGAGACATTGAGAACATGTGCACATAGAAAAAGGGCCATGTGAGGACACTTCGAGAAGGCAGCCATGTGCAAGCCTCGGGAGAAGCCAGTCTTGCTGATACTTTGATCTTGGACTTCTAGCCTCCAGAACTGTGAGCAAATAAAGTTCTGTTGTTTGAGCTGCCTAGCCTGTGCTTGTGCTTAGTTGCTGAGTCATGTCTGACTCTTCATGACTCTGTGGACTATGTAGCCCACCAGGCCCCTCTGTCCATGGGATCTTTCAGGCAAGAATACTGGAGTGGGTTGCCGTTTCCTCCACCAAGGAATCTGCCTGATAAAGGGATCAAACCCATGTCTCCTGCTTTGCAGGCGGATTCTTTATCCATCAGTATTTTGTTATGGTGTTCCTTGCAAACGGGTGGAGAGATGTTCTAGCAAAGGAATGATATACAAAAAGTCTCTGAGGTGCGGCCAGGTGATTAGGTTTCATGGTAAAAAGTGTTGAGAGATGATTCTGAAGACGAGGGAGGGGCCATTTTGGATGAATGTGTATGAGACTCTAAGGATTTTAAACTTTATCCTAAGGAGGTAGAATGGAGGGGGTTTGCAGCAGTGGGAAAACATTAGGTCTGCATTTTAGAAAGATACTCTGTGAACTATGGAAGGATGAATTAAAGAGGGTAAGACTGGAGGCAAGAAGATCAACTGGGTGTCTTATTGTCACAGGAAGCTGAACTAAATATTTTCTCAGAATATTGAAATGTCAAACTAAATTGTTTGACATAACAAGACCGTTGTTAATATAAGGAAGATTTAAAAGGGCACAGCTAACCCTTAGGGCAAGTCAAGTCAAGTCTAGTCAAGGCTATGGTTTTTCCAGTGGTCATGTATGGATGTGAGAGTTGGACTGTGAAGAAAGCTGAGCACCGAAAAATTGATGCTTTTGAACTCTGGTGCTGGCGAAGACTCTTGAGAGTCCCTTGGACTGCAAGGAGATCCAACCAGTCCATCCTAAAGGAGATCAGTCCTGGGTGTTCATTGGAAGGACTGATGCTGAAGCTGAAACTCCAGTACTTTGGCCACCTCGCGCAAAGAGTTGACTCATTGGAAAAGACCCTGATGCTAGGAGGGATTGGGGGCAGGAGGAGAAGGGGACGACAGGGGATGAGATGGCTGGATGGCATCACCAACTTGATGGACATGAATTTGAGTAAACTCTAGGAGTTGGTGATGGACAGGGAGGCCTGGCGTGCTGCAATTCATGGGGTCGCAAAGAGTTGGACACGACTGAGCAACTGAACTGAACCGAGCCCTTAGGGCATACATAAGATTTAAGAAGAATCTGTATATACCTATTTTGTACCTAGAGACTAGCTTTGCTTTTGACATTTTGCTTTCGGTAAATAAAGCTTCACTAACCTATCACAGAATATTTAGTATTTTTCCACTGTATTTGGTAGACACTGTTATAGTACTTATTCTATTCTCAGCCAAGTCCTCTGACAGCTTTATGAAATATCTACTCTTGCTGTGGTGGTTTAGTCGCTAAGTTGTGTCCGACCCTAGCAACCCTACGGACTGTGGCCCACCAGACTTCTTGTCCATGGGATTTCCCAGGCAAGAATGCTGGAGTGGGTTGGCATTTCCTTCTCCAGGATCTACTTTTATTATCTCTA